TGGGTCACTTTTGATAAAAAGCAATTGCAAACGTTGACTAAAGAAGGACCATGCCAGCCCACTTGGTAATCGACTCAGAAGATGACAAGCACATATGTTACTGTCGTTCAACGTCTTCACCCTGTGGGTAAGTTCAGAAACACGGCGCATAGATGGCACATGCATTGACCGAGAGAAACTTAACCAAGCACTCCTTCACTGCCGTTAGTCTACTAGACTACTCGTGGATACAAACACAAGCTCGGTTGAGAGAAGCGAAACGAGATTTCTACTAAGAATTTTTACATAATTTCGTCGGATTCTATCACGTTTGAAAATGAGAAAAAAAAACCCAGCCAAACACAGCCAAAGAAACAACCCGCTAACTCTTCATTAAATAACTTTAAAGCTTCTGTAACTTTTCTTTATCGTTGATGCCCTGTGTACAGTATGATATACAAAACATAAATTCGTATGTTGAACATGAAACTACCACTCGATCATACAGCTTAACTTGTCATGTGAACAATTCGTATTAATATTAATGATTAAATGCGACGAAGTAATATTATGCATTAAATGCAACAGATACACGTAAAATATACTTTTAACAGAAAGCCAAGTATCTTCTTCTGTTTGAAATAAATGTAGTATACCTTTGTGCAAATTAATTTAAACAAAACAAATAATTCCGTTAATATTTACTTTTTATTCTTATTTTCCCAATGAAACATGACCCAGAGCACTTGTTCGTACTTTGTATGTCCATTCTACGAAGTTGTTCCTTGCAATTGACTACATGTTTCCCATTAAATTTAAATCAGCAAAGTTTCCAGGTCAGTCTATAGTACTTCTGTTTGTTCACTGTTAATTCTTGCCAGTGTGTTCGTGCAGCGCTATAATTTTTGTATGTTTCCTTGGAGTAGGGTCCCTCGCAGACAATGACTGTAGGACAACTAATCGACAGTTAAAACAATAGTGTCTAGGCGTGATAAAAATATGATCCAATCAAGGATGATGCATTACTTTACAAGGCTAAACAAATTTCATGATACACCCCAAAAACTGGCCGTATGGTGAAAGAAAGGAAGCTAAAGCGGTTGTTTCAATTAATTTGCACAAGGGTTTAAATGTGTTACAAAATAAACAATATGTGGTATAACTATTTTATTCTAGCAACGAACGCAACGTGTCGCTGGGGAAATAAGTTAGGCAAACATTTGCACCCGATTATATGTTCCTACTTTAGCTTTCTTAAGATGCAAATCGAATGCGTCATATGCTGTCGAGCAGTAGAGATAGCTGTACGCGTTCATGTTGTACCGTTGGCGGAAAAAAATGAGTGGAAAAGATCTACAGTTTAAAAAGATTGAAAAAATGCAAAACAAAATGTTAGTCCTATTAAAAATGATAATGATGAACATGATTTGAAGAAATATACACAGTGACGTAGGCAGTGAAATTCAAAAAAGAAGAAAAAATGTAATTTTTTTCATTTGAAAGTATTGATGAGTTCTCAAAATATTTCCCATGGAAGAGAAAAAAAAAAAAAAAAAAAAACACCGACATCTGATAAGCGGGTTCGCCACGATGACAATGTTCCAATGCATTTTTATTTCTAATCTCGACTCGGAAATCCATGATCAAATAGGCGATCCAACTTGTTCACCCAACTTAGCGTCCTTTGAGTTTTGGCAGTTGCGAAAATTAAAAAAAAATTACATTAGTACAAGAATTGCTGATATTATTGAAACATTTCAGAAGAGTTTCCGGAATAATTCCTACAATAGCACTATCATCTATCAAAGTGCATAGCTTTACAAGTTATCTATATTTAAGGTGAAAGCAGCCAATAGTGCTCAGGTGAGAGAAGGTTTCGCTCAACGAGCCATTCCGGGAATTAAATTCTTACATCTCGTATATATAACTTTTTCTACAGAAGGATATCATGAACCGAGCGTGTGAGCAACGATGTCGTTCTAGAGAGGTTGCAAACAGGAAAGAGTCTTGTACAATCAGGATGAGACAGCTGAAGTTTCTGGGACACATAATGAGGAAGGAGGCCCTGGAGAATCTGATACTCGTGGAGGGGAAAAAGACAAAGGAAATCAACGCATGACATACCTAACAGGCTTAAGCAAGTGGATGACAGAACGTAGTCTGGGGCAGGAAGTAGAGGAAAGAATTTGTTGAGAGCTGCAAGGAATAGAAAAAGGAGGAGAGCCATGATCACCTACGTCCTGAAAGGACATGGCACAGAAAAAGAAAGATATATAAGTTTAGAATTTAGTTTCTATGTCAGCACATGCTTGTCGTGATAAGAGCGCCGAAAAAAAGAAAACGGCGATTTGAAAAAAACGAATCAGCTAAACAGTTTTACAATGATCTTGTTAGGATTAGGCAGTTGATCTCACCTCTGATCGAGTTTCAACAGCTCAGTGGGGGATAAAACTGACCGGTCTCATTCAATGCTTTGAAAACAAGACTACCGGAGAGCGATGAACGTGTGCTCTCTCGGGGAGGTCCCGTACTATTAGGCCATGCAGGCACTTACTCATCTTAGACATTCAAGTGGAAATTATAGATAACATCCATCGCTAAAGATGATGGAATTATTGTCAGTTCAGTATACCGCTCAAGTACTTATAAAACTTCTGTTATTATCCTATACCTTTACAAAAGTATCAGATCGAAAATGAAATAGTGCTGTCATAAACTTGAACCGATTTTAAATGAGAATTAAGTTTAAGCATCTAATGATTTTTTTTCTTTTTCGTTCAGATTTGGCGGACATTTGAGCGATATTATTTTTCACACATAATTGCCATGACTTAAATAACATGATCCAATAGAGAAATAAATAATTTTTCACAAATAACACTGATTTATTTACTGCTGACTTTGATCCGTCTTAATGAAACACCCTTATATATATATATATATATATATATATATATAATCCTTCTTAATGAAACACCCTTTAGTTATATTTGAAGTCTTCTTTGAATAGTTAGAGATCAGTTTAGCGGGTAAGAAACAATGTACTTATTAATGAGAAAAACTGAAATTAATGCATGTAATATTTCAAAACCCTAGTATCACTCCTTCATAGTCAACCTATTAACTTTTCAGTGCACCCTCGTATCTCTAATGACTTAAATTAGGTTTTTGTTCGTTCGCTTGTTTCTAAACAAGTGATTTTCCATAAAACGTCTTTATTAGTGTTATTGTGTACTATATATTTTGCTCTATCCTGGGTGTGAGGATAAACAACATCCGGCAGCAAGGCCTTTGATCGGGAGATTTTGAGGAGTGTGGAACAATCTCATAATTGATGTTATTCCTAGGTCCACAGAGACCCGGGGTGGCAACACATGTTAGGGTCACAAATGTGGGCAAATAGTTAACACCCAAAATGGGACCAAAATAGTATAAAAGTAATAAAATACATTTTTATAGTAAAATTAAAGGGTGTTCCGATAATTTGGACCGATTTTAAATGTGAATTATGTTTAAGTCTAATGTTTTTTTTCTTTTTCTTTCAGATTTAACAACTTAAGTCTTGGCAATTTCAACCATGGAAATATTAACAATCAAACAACGTCTTAAAGTTATCGAAGCCTATTATGAAAATAGACGTTCAAACAAAATTTGAATGAGAAATTCCCAGGTCGCATTATCTCACGAAACAGCGAAATCAATTGGCCATCACGATCTTGCGACTTGACGTCTTTCGATTTCTTAGATTTGGGGTCATCTCAAAAGTAAGGTCTATGCCAACAAGCCAACAACAGGTGAAGGATGAGATATTAAGGCATATTGGTGAGATAGAGGAGCAACTATGCAGAGACGTCATCAAAAATTTTGACCATCGAGTGGAGGTATGCCGCCGAAGCCTTGGCGGACATTTGGGCGATATTATTTTTCAAACATAATTGCTATGACTTAAATAACATGATTCAATAGACAAATAAATACATTTTCACCAATAACATTGTTTTATTTACTGATGATTTTGATCCGTCTTAATGAAACACCCTTTAAATCGAGCTGCCCAGTCTTCACTTTCCAGTCACGATAGAGTCCAAAATGTCTCCGCGTCCTTGTGGGTGATGAATTATTTTCCATCTTACAAATCCTTTCCCACAGACGAAACATCGTTAGCTTTTCCCTGCTCTATCGTTATTTCCATGGAAAGGATCCAGGCGAAGTATATTCCTTAAGTCCACCAGTTCTAATCTTCACGATTAAGACCCCCTATGCCCCTCACATTTTAGCGAACCACCTTCGTATTACATTGGTGAGATGTTCAACTCGAATTGCCCCTTCTTCTGAATTGTTCTTTGTGCTTCCACGATCCTTACAATCTTACCCTGTTCATGTTTTGGGACAAACATTATCTTACCGACATATACTCAAAACTACTTCTTACACTATAACCCTCTACCTCGTGTGGCTCTTGGGCTTTGTACAGGTTGAACATCATTATAAAAATGTATGGCTGAAAGCACTGCATCACAAATCTTTTAAATAATATTTACATTCGCTGGAACTAGAGACGCGTTCGCTTGTACGTAAACAAGAAAACTTAAGTCCAAAATTCAAAGAAACTTTGCCGTCTTTAACGAAACATATATTAATACGTGCGTGTGTTTGTTTTTTTTTCTTTTTCTCTTTCTCTCTGCTCTATTCCGCTTTGCTCTCCCTTCTCCCTCTATCTCCCTCTATCTCCCTCTATCTCCTTGCCCACCCACTTATAAAAATATTCTTGCTAATATATACATGTGTTACGCAAACAAGCGGACGAATTTGGGAAATCCTGTGCATATTTTTACAGATGAGCGTTTTCTAGCTGGGCTTAATTATTTGGTTTGCATAAAGTTATTTCCTTAAAAACGAAAAGATGAACAATTATATGTCCCTTTCAATTTTTACTCACTACGTACACGACCAATTTCTTTTTTTTTTTTTTAGGATATTCCAGGAATGGACAGGAAAATCATTGCTTTCTGTCTTTTTTTATGCTCTCTTTTTCATTGACAGTTTTTCTTCTTTTCGTTCCGACTTCTTTTGCAAGGAAGTTCTTTAATTTTCCGTTTGAAGAAGCATTTAGTCACACTTTATAGACAGACGTAGGTCGTTTACGCACACAGGAAAATGTTTCCTCGAGGATGCAAATACACTCTGAGGATAATTGCACACTGGAAGCCAGTAATTTACAATAGTTGACGCATTAAAATGAAACCTACACACATAGCGAAGGTTTTAAATTTCTAACTATGAGATAAATTAAAATATCATTAGGAAGTTATTTATATCGCATTCTAATTACATATATCCATGTACTTTTCTATCCCTCAACTTTCCGTCTTTCCACCTTCCGTTCTTTATTTCTTTCTTTCTTTATTTTTTCTATATTTGATATTCTTTCTTTGCTAATATCTTTTTTTATTCTACTGATTTTCTGTTCTTTCTTCCTTTATCTATTTTTCTTACCTGCCTAAATTTTTTGTTTCATTTGCCCGCTTTAATTCTCGTAATCTTTTATTCGTTTTTCTTCCAACACTTCCTTCTTTTTTTGTAATTGACAGCTTCTTTCTTTCTTTCTTTCTTTCTTTATCTCCTTATGCCATTCTTCCGTATATATATTTATCAGTCAATATTTCTTCCTTCCTAACTTCCTTCTTTTTTTCTTCCTTTCTTTCTTTCCTTATGCCATTCTTGCGTATATATTTATCAGTCAATATTTCTTCCTTTCTTCTTTTTCTTTCTTTCTTTTTTCTTTCTTTCTTTCTCTTCTTCTGCCATTCTTGCGTATATATATTTATCAGACTATATCCCTCCTTCCTTCCTTCCTTCCTTCCTTCCTTCCTTCCTTCCTTCCTTCCTTCTTCTCATCTTATGCCATTCTTGCGTATATATTTATCAGTCAATATTTCTTCCTTCTTTCCTTTCTTCTTTTTCTTTCTTTCTTTCTTTCTTTCTTTCTTTCTTTATGCCATTCTTGCGTATATATATTTATCAGTCAATATTTCTTCCTTCCTTCCTTCTTTCTTTCTTTCTTTCCTTATGCCATTCTTGCGTATATATTTATCAGTCAATATTTCTTCCTTCTTTCCTTTCTTCTTTTTTCTTTCTTTCTTTCTTTCTTTCTTTCTTTCTTTTTTATGCCATTCTTGCGTATATATATTTATCAGTCAATATTTCTTCCTTCCTTCCTTCTTTCTTTCTTTTCTTTTTTTATGCCATTCTTGCGTATATATTTATCAGTCAATATTTCTTCCTTCTTTCCTTTCTTCTTTTTCTTTCTTTCTTTCTTTCTTTCTTTCTTTCTTTCTTTCTTTCTTTCTGCCATTCTTGCGTATATATATTTATCAGTCAATATTTCTTCCTTCCTTCCTTCTTTCTTTCTTTCTTTCTTTATGCCATTCTTGCGTATATATTTATCAGTCAATATTTCTTCCTACTTTCCTTTCTTCTTTTTCTTTCTTTCTTTCTTTCTTTCTTTCTTTCTTTCTTTCTTTCTTTATGCCATTCTTGCGTATATATATTTATCAGTCAATATTTCTTCCTTCCTTCCTTCTTTCTTTCTTTCTTTCTTTATGCCATTCTTGCGTATATATTTATCAGTCAATATTTCTTCCTTCTTTCCTTTCTTCTTTTTCTTTCTTTCTTTCTTTCTTTCTTTCTTTCTTTCTTTCTTTATGCCATTCTTGCGTATATATATTTATCAGTCAATATTTCTTCCTTCCTTCCTTCTTTTTTCTTTCTTTTTTTTATGCCATTCTTGCGTATATATTTATCAGTCAATATTTCTTCCTTCTTTCCTTTTTCTTCTTTTCTTTCTTTCTTTCTTTCTTTCTTTCTTTCTTTCTTTCTTTTTTATGCCATTCTTGCGTATATATATTTATCAGTCAATATTTCTTCCTTCCTTCTTTCTTTCTTTCTTTCTTTATGCCATTCTTGCGTATATATTTATCAGTCAATATTTCTTCCTTCTTTCCTTTCTTCTTTTTTTTCTTTCTTTCTTTCTTTCTTTTTTCTTTCTTTCTTTCTTTATGCCATTCTTGCGTATATATATTTATCAGTCAATATTTCTTCCTTCCTTCCTTCTTTCTTTCTTTCTTTCTTTTATGCCATTCTTGCGTATATATTTATCAGTCAATATTTCTTCCTTCTTTCCTTTCTTCTTTTCTTTCTTTCTTTCTTTCTTTCTTTCTTTCTTTATGCCATTCTTGCGTATATATATTTATCAGTCAATATTTCTTCCTTCCTTCCTTCCTTCTTTCTTTCTTTCTTTCTTTATGCCATACTTGCGTATATATTTATCAGTCAATATTTCTTCCTTCTTTCCTTTCTTCTTTTTCTTTCTTTCTTTCTTTCTTTCTTTCTTTCTTTCTTTCTCGTCTTATGTCATTCTTGTGTATATATGTATCAGTCAATATTTCTTCTTTCTTTCTTTCTTTCTTTCTTTATTTATTTATTTATTTATCTATTTATTTATATCATTCTTATCTATATATTTATAAGTCAATATTTTTTTTCTTTTTTCCTTTCTTATTTTCTTTCTTTCTTTCTTTTCTTATATGCTATCATTCCTCCATTTCATTTTATCTTTTATTCCCTCCAGTTATTAATTTTATTCTTTCGTTTATTTTTCCAGTATTGACTTCTTATTAGTTCGTAAATTTCTCTTGATTTTTCTACCTTTTTTCTTTCATTCTTTCTTTTCTCCTTCTTTTTATGTATCGTATTTACATTATATCTATCTGTATTTTAGTTTTTATTTATATCTTTGTTTCCTTTTTTTTCGTTTTTTGTTACTTTTTTTATTTCTTGCGTTTAATATATTTCGACGTTCCTTTTAATTTAATTTTTATTTCTTTCGTTTTCTTTTTTCTTAATTTCCCTTTAATCTGTTTTCCTCTGTGTCCTTCTCTTTCTTTTCTTTCTTTTCGTTCTGTTTCTTTCTTTTTTTCCCCGTTTTTGTCCTTTCCTTTCTTTCTCTTCTTTCGTTTCTTTTTCTATCTTTATTTCTTTCCTTTCCTTTGCTCTCTGTCCATTTCTTTCTTTCTTTTTTCTTTCTTTACATTCTAATGCTTCTTTTCACTTCTTTCTACTCTTTTCCCCTTCCTTCTTATCCTTTCTTCTTTCTTTCCTTCCTATTCCCTTGACTCAGTATGCATCTCCCTGCAAACCCTGATCTGTCTAAATCTCCATATAAATTTCTACGTGCCTCTCTGTGTTTCTCTACACTCTCTGTTTATATCTGTCTTGGTAGTGTACTAATAGACGATGTAACACAGAGATAAGAAGACACATTTCATAATGTAACCATCTATTTCGCCACACAATTTCTACTTTAAAATATTGTCTTCAGATAAAACGCATAAACATATATTTATCCGTTTTTTTTTTAATTTTTATTTGTTTTTTTTTTTAATTTAAATCTTTTTGTAAAATTGTTATATACCGTACCAACTGGTATGTCCCAAGCCTCACAAATACGTTGACACTATTGTAAGTGAGAGTAATATGCTGTCTAAAGAAAGAAAGAAAGAAAGAAAGAAACAAAGAAACAAAGAAAGAAACAAAGAAACAAAGAAAGAAGTCTAAGGGAAAGTGGATGGAATGAAGGAAGACAAAAGCTTGAATGAAAGAGAGAATACAATTGAAAGAGAGAATGCAATTGAAAGAAAGAAAGAAAGAAAGAAAGAAAGAAAGAAAGAAAGAAAGAAAGAGAAAAAGAAAAAAAAGTGCTATATACCGTCCTATGAAAAATTATGGGTATGTCCCAATCACCATAAATACGTTGGACGCTATTGTAAGCGGGGGTAATATGCTAAGTAGTTCACCACTAGCAGTGGTTTACCTACTTCACGCCGCTGACGAGTATTGTATTTTGTTGATGTTATAAAGATTACCATTTCATTTCCAACCTCCATTTGGGTATTCCTCATTCAGCAACCCTTAGTTTACAACGAAAAGTTTTAAAAAATCCGTTTTTTTTGGGGGGGGGTTGTTTTTTTAATTGATTCACCTCAAGCAAAGCATGGGTTTACAGAGAATGATAGAGCATGAAAAGTCTTTAGTGAGCAGTGAAGTAAAGGAAAATAATGAACAGAATTTACAAAGACAGAATATGGCGATTGACGTTGAATTTAAATTTTTGAAGTATGTGAGTAGTATTGAAACAAGAAAATGGAAAACGGTTTCACAGGCGAGAAGTGTAATAAAGGAAACTATTAGCATAGAACTGATAGTTGCATCTAGCTAGTTCAAAATAAAACGGTGAAACCTACTTGCTAATCTAGTAGAACGTTTAAATCCGAGACACTAGGAATAGCTCATCAGAATAATTACAATTTGTTTGTAGAAACGACAGAGGGAAGCCTTTTGACAGTGGTGAGAAAATGACTGAAGTCGAGATGCTAGTCAGGATCGATTAGATTACAGAACTTTGTAGAAAAGACAGAGGGAAGCCTTTTGACAATGGTGAGAAAATGACTGAAGTCGAGATGCTAGTCAGGATCGATTAGATTACAGAACTTTGTAGAAAAGACAGAGGGAAGCCTTTTGACAATGGTGAGAAAATGACTGAAGTCGAGATGCTAGTCAGGATCGATTAGATTACAGAACTTTTGAATTTTGTCAAGAAACTTGAGATGTAGAAGCACCAAACCTGACATGGTAACAGTATTCAGTGCACGGACGAATGGTAGATTTATAAATGAGCAAATGAGATTCTGAGGAGAAGAATTTTCTGCAAACGGTAGACGTTTTAGCACACTGATATCAATGACGTAAACACACTTTCAAATATGATATCTGTAAACAAACAGTGGAGTTCTGATAGCTAGCAGCTAATCGATTATGCAGTGTATTGATATTATGAACAGGGCTCCACTTCTAAAATGATAAGCCAACCAATATTTCTCGATTCTGAAAATTTTGCGGCTTAAGAAATGTATAAAAGAAGTTAATCTGCAAAATTTATTTCCTCCAAAATTTTCTCTATTTCTTATGGTGGACCAATATTCTTGAGTCGGATATCACTATTCCCAAAGATCATGTAATAAAATTAAAATAAACATCAAGCAGGTGCAGAAGTTCAAATATTTCCCCTCCTCTGTTAAAACAACGAAGGAGGGGAAAATGCGACACCAAGATTTGAACACGCGAAATTTGCCTTCCAAAAGCCAAAGCAAAGTGCTTAGAAATGGTCAGATTTTCGTTAGAAATAAAAAGAACAGTGTCCATCCTCTAAATGGCAGTGAATATTGAAAATTTCCTTAAGGAAGAGGTAAAACCTTAAAGCAGCAGAAATGTCGTTCTACAGATGGATATTGAGAATTCCATGAGTAGGCAACGTAAAACTGTTTGAAAAATGGTAAGAGAAGGAAGACTTATACTCAAAGTCTGAAAAAAAAAACAGCTAAAATTCTTTGGACGCATAATGATGAAGGAGTGTTTGGAAAACTTAAACCTCACGGGGCATATTGAGGTGAAAAGTGATTGGGGAATTGATTGGGAAAAGTAGAGAGCTACTTACCTGAGGAGCTTCTGTGAATGAATGGCGGAACCAGGGTCGGGGCTCTTATCAAAGCGAGAAATACTCATAAGATCACACGTGATAGAAAGCTGTGGAGAGCTACGATCGTCTATGTCCTAAAGAAAGGCGGCACATAGAAGAAAAGGAAAATTACGCAGACTTTGTGTAACACGGAATATTAAGGTTACCGTATCACCTATGGTCACTAGATCACTCGGAACAGTGCCAAGATCTTTGCAACGAGAAGGCAGTACTGAAAAACCTCAGGGAAACGTCGAAAGAAATTAGAAAACATTATTAGAAGCAGTTAGAATAGTGAGGTGAGAGTTGGTGCATTGAGGAGACTTGTTACCTCTTGATCTCTAATAAAAAGTACCAGCATTATTGTTGAGATAAGGAAAAACAATAATGATATAATAAAACAAAAAAAAAATAGTGATGAAGAAGAAGAAGAAGATTTTTTTCTGGTATTAAGAGGTAAGATCTCGCTGATACAAGATGTGGTTTGAAATCTTTTTGTGGTAAATTTAAGAGATCAAATGCTGATGCACAATTTCCTTTGAAGGGAGGAAAAAATATACTTCAAAGGAATATGCTTCTTACGCATTTTTATGTAAAAAATTAAAAAGAAAAGAAAAAGCGAAAGAAACATGGATGGTTAATAGAAAAAAAAAAATGGTGACGACAATAATCGGGAGATTTACGGATTTAAACACGGAGATTAAGGGGAGTGCAGAAGGGAAGGATATTTATCTCCAAAGAGAAAGACACGTGCGAAAAGGACGCGGAAAAGAGAGTAAAAAAAAAGGGCCTTGGTGAATAGATATGTTAGGAACGAAAAGAAATTGAAGAAAGAAAAAATAAGATGAACAAGAAAATGTTTACACAAAAAAAGAAGAAAGGAAAAAAAAAACGAGGTAAAAGAAAAAAAGAATAGTGTAGATGAGAAATAAGAATAACGAAAAGGGAAAAGAAGAAGAAGAAGAAGAAAGAGGAGGGAAAGGAGGAAGAGATTAAGAAGAAAAAGATTAAGAACAAAGAAGAGGAAAGAGAGAGGAAAAAAGAGGATATAGGTAGAAATGTAGGAAGAATAGAAGAAGAAGGCGAAGGAGAAAGCTGATGATAAAAAGGAGAACGTAAGAAGGAAAAAATGAGATTAATGATGATGATGAAGAAGAAGAAGAAAAGTGAGAGAAAAAAAGGAGAATTTTGGCAGAATTGTAAGAATAATAAACAGTGAATGAAGAAGAAGAAGAAGAAGAAGAAGAAGAAGAAGAAGGAAGAGGAAAGCTGCTGGTAAAAAGGAGAATGTAGGCAGAAATATAGGAAGACGAAAAGGAGAGTGAAGAAGAAGAAAAATGAAAAAGAGGAAAGTCAGACGAAAAAAGAATATAGGTAGAGATGTAGGAATAATGGAAGAAGAAGGAAAAGATGAAAGCTGCTGGTAAAAAAGAGAACGTACTAAGAAGAAAGGGTGAATGATGAAGAAGAAGAAGAAGAAGAAGAAGAAGAAGAAGAAGGAAGAGGAGGAAGAGATTAAGAAGAAAAAGATTAAGAAAAAGAACAAAGAAGAGGAAAGAGAGAGGAAAAAAGAGGATATAGGTAGAAATGTAGGAAGAATAGAAGAAGAAGGCGAAGGAGAAAGCTGATGATAAAAAGGAGAACGTAAGAAGGAAAAAATGAGATTAATGATGATGATGAAGAAGAAGAAGAAAAGTGAGAGAAAAAAAGGAGAATTTTGGCAGAATTGTAAGAATAATAAACAGTGAATGAAGAAGAAGAAGAAGAAGAAGAAGAAGAAGAAGACCAGGAAAGCTGCTGGTAAAAAAGGAGAATGTAGGCAGAAATATAGGAAGACGAAAAGGAGAGTGAAGAAGAAGAAAAAAGAAAAAGAGGAAAGTCAGAAGAAAAAAGAATATAGGTAGAAATGTAGGAATAATGGAAGAAGAAGTAGAAGATGAAAGTTGCTGGTAAAAAAGAGAACGTACTAAGAAGAAAGGGAGAATGAAGAAGAAGAAGAAGAAGAAGAAGAAGAAGAAGAAGAAGAAGAAGAAGAAATGGAAGGAAAGAAGGAGAATATGAGTAGAATTATATAAGAAGTAGAAAAGATGGATGATAGAACATAAAATAGAAAGGCAAAAACAAAAGAATTGGCAACGAAAAGAAGAAATGGAAAATAGAAAAAAGGAATAGAAAGAATAAATTCAAGTAAGGAGATGGTAAAAATAAATTACAAAAGAAAACAATATACGAGAGGAAGAAAGAAAGAAAAAAACAATTAAGAAGAGCGAAGGAAATAAGCAATGAAAAATAGAGAAATGTAAATTGAGGGAAAGAAAATGGCGAGAATCTAGAATCAAAAAGGAATTAAAAAAGAAAGAAATAGTATCCACGGAACAGGAAGAAAAGGCAAGAAAATAGATGAAGATACAATCATGCAAGACATTATACGAATGTAGAAAACATAAAATAAAAGGAAAAACATAGAAAAAAAATCACGGAGCTATTTCGACAATCGGTCGAAAGATGTAAAAGATATCGTCCGAAAAGTTATGTCAAAGACAGTAAAGGAAGATATCAGCGAAGGATGATGTTACTTTATCAGGTTTGGCGCTTTTACTGTGTCTTTAGAGATTGTAGATTAAATACAAAGAATCTGCAATTTTATCGGTCTTGACCTGTCACTTCAGTATCAGTCGGTTTCCGACTGCCGTAGAGGCACTTCCATGCGCTTTTTATTAAAAATAGTTTAATTGTTCTGATAATCTATTTTTGGGTAACTTGACTTTATGAATTTGAGCGCAATACTAGTTTGGCGGTTAGGTCTCATCCTTTTACAGTTAAAATTGCTACGCAATTTTTATGCTAAAAGTTTCTTCTATCGCACTCATCGCGTGTGGAACATTCTTCCGGCATTCTTGTTAACTTTGACCTCAAAAGTTTAGATACAATGTCAATCATTATCTACTGTCTTCTTGATCCTGTTCTTTTCCTTTTCCCACTCCTTAACGTTTATTTTATCTCATATTCTCTCACACTCAATAAATCTTTGCACCTTAGTCGCTTTATGGACTTGCTTGGGGTGACATGATTAACTTTTTTTTTTTTCTTTAAATCAACATTCAAATGCTATACAATCTAATTTATTTATCAGCCCACCTCAATGGTTCCATTCGTTATATAGGCAAACTGTAAATAATTATTACATATAGAATTCCTTTTGCTTTTTTTTTTTCATTTCCGCACGCCATTTCTTAATGCAGGGGTTGGGTGGGGGTCTGCGTCTGACAGGAAAATTTCATTAACTGAAGATAACAAAATGAGGTATAAGTTTTTTTTCACGTGTACCAAATGACAAATCACTCAATAATATATTAATTATTTTCAAACGTGTTTACTTATCTTCAGTAGGCAGATACCTTGTCAGATAAACAGGTGTCAAGATGGGTAACCTCAACAGGAGAGAACAACAAAACCTTTTGATAGAGCAAGTTTTTTTGTTGCACAAGCTCAATGTTTCCAAAGAGACTTCAGTATTGACAATGTATTTTCAAGACTTCATTTCGTGAGTTGATAGTGTTTCGTGGTCGATCGCAGACATTTCTGTCACCCCTGCTGACATTATCTGACTGTCCATTTAACTGTGCTCGTATCCACTGATTGGTCTCCTTCAATGTTGTGTAAACCTTTGAGGAATATCCATAGGTCCAGCTTTTTCCCATTTGGAGGAATGCAAAGGTACGATTCTACTTCGTACTATTTCATGACTGAGGCCATTTTTCGACAGAAGAACAATTGGCTTTTGGCAACATAATAAATTCTGGCAACATAGGCTGCATTTATTTATTATGGAGCGATGTGTATATATTTATACATACAATTATCTCTGTCTTTCTCCCTATGTATGTATAAATGCATCTATCTATCTATCTATGTATCTGGCATAAGCATTAAATTCCATCGATGTGTTACACTATCTATCTATCTATCTATCTATCTATCTATCTATCTATCTATCTATCTATCTATCCGAGTCTAGTAATTTCTATCTTAGCCTATTAATTTCCTTCTGAGTCTTAATTTCCATCTATCTCGTGTTATTCATATCTATCTGTCTATCCTGGGTGTTATTCATATTATCTGTCTGTCTGTCTGTTTCTCTCTCTCTCTCTCTCTCTCTCTCTCTATATATATATATATATATATATATATATATATATATATATATATATATATATAGGCAAAATTGAAAGTAAAGACAATGCGTAGGGATTGTTTAGGGTACTGATAATTTTAATATTAGCAGTTTCTTACAAGAAAACATTTGGCATTCATTGACCGCACAGCCAGTATTTTTGTCAAATTGCCAGCTTTTCTAAAAAAAAATACCTACAATATATTAAGTGGAAATAGATATGGCTTGCTCATTTTACTCGTCTGAGAGAACCTTTTTTCCCTTCTACCAGCATGGCCGATGCTAACCTCCAAGAGTGTTAATTCATTCCACCTTCTCAGTCTAACGTTTTCATCTGATATGATGTTGAATGGTTATATTGAATCAATTGCTTTTGATCTGCTGCCAGGAAAATTGGCTCACTGTTTCGCGTTAGACATTATTTCTCACCAGAATCTCACTGACACAATTATGAGGCTAACATTCTTCTATGCATTTAATATTGCCGTCACATCCGGTCTGGTGCTTCTGCTATGTATTTCGATATTCTTGATTATATACAAAGAAGAATCTTCAGTGTAGTTGGTCCTGAACTGGCAACTCGTCTTCAGCTATTTTTCAACTGCCGTAACGTAGCTTACTTAAAAGATATTTTTTATAATTATTTTCAAAGTATTAATTCCGATAAGCATTCCTCTTTGGTACTTCGACGTCGTACTAGATTGGCAGTTATGTCTCATTATGTTGTGGTTGAAATGGCTAGATGCTACCGTAAGTTCTATACTAAAAGCTTCTTCTCTTGCGCTGATCGCTTGTGGAACTCTTTGTCGTCTCTTGCTTCCCAGCCAGCTTTGATCTCCAAAAATCTGAATGCATTGTCAATCGATATCTTCCGTCTTCCAGAAACGTGATCCTTTATCTTTCTCTCTCCTTAATAATATTTTATTTTCCACGTCTGTTTTCATGTTTTAGTGACATTATATCCTTGCTTGTGATGAAATGATTAAAAATAATAAAAAAAATTAAAAAAATCTTCATTTGAAGTAATGTTTTGTTCCTTGTTTACTGAAATCTTGTATTCTTATGCTTAACTAATGTAAGTTTTGTCAGTCTGTGCCCAATTTCGAAACAAGAGAGGCTGGCAATCGGGTCCCTACAGAGGGAAGAAAATATAATCGTTGCCTAATTGAGGTTTCTCAATGTTTATTGCGACCGTGCCGTGAATAGATATTTTTATTCATTTACTTTTTAGTAATTCTTCGGCCTTTTCTGGTAATTAAGTATTTAAATGTCGATTCAACGTTATTGCATTCTGTCTTACTGAAAAGCATTAAGTTTCTTTTGACGTGCCAGCCGCCATACTGCCTCTAACCCGCATATTTCCACCACCTCTTTTGTTCCGGTTCAGAAGTCGTCAGTCTTCGCCACACTCGGTTGGTCTGTATTTCGCGAGTATATTATTAAGTGATTATCATTTTGGTAAGTAATTTGGTAAGTAGTAACATTGGGTCCGGGGCAGCAGCTGCTCAGGAGACAAATGGTATCGGTAGAAGATGGAGACCGTTTCAGAAGGAGCCAAAAAAAAAAAAAAAAAAAAAAGTTGAGAAAGTCGTTATGCGAAACGAAAGAGAAAAGGAAAAAATGTATATATTTGGCTTAATAGTTTTGCATTTGTTCTGAAAACTGACAGATTAAAGGCTCGACGGAATTTTGGTACGAAGGATGATAAGACTCAAAACGAAATTGCTTAATAGGAAAACTATAAAAAAAAAAGGTAAATGGTATAATATCATTACATAAGTATTATATATGCACGTGCGCGCAATGACTCACTCTCTTACACACACACATACACACACATTAACCCTAGAACACTAACCATCAATTAAAGTTACACCACTACTAACCATGGGTATATCATACCCGATTTTGAAAATATCAAAAAAAAATATTAAATATAAGTCTTTATTTGAAATATTTTACATGCAGGCACTTCAAACTTTGTACTTTGAGTTAATATTAATAGGAATTGAAAAAACATATTATTTAGGTAAGAAAATCAGGTACTGAAAATTGTAATTAAAAATAGGTAAATTTGCGCTGGGTACTATATACACATGGTTAGTCTTCTAAGGTTAGTGATCGAGCGTTTATAACTATGCTTTTTTTTGTTCTTTTCTTCACCCCTTACATGGCCTAAGAACCACTCAATCTAGGGATGTTCTGAATGAGATTGTCACCAGGACGTAAAAGAAATAAGAAGTGCATATTATCGTGATATTTAGAACAGTTAACGATTGACCCCTATACATGAAGATGTCACAATGGTAGTGATAGGGGAAGCATCCTATCGGGAGCAACGGTTTGGGGCAAGAAGCTGCCTGAGTGAAACTTCTTCTTTACAAATGCTGTACGAAGGGAAATGAAGATAATTCAACATTACATGCCTGTAATGGACGGTCGTAAGTTGTGAAGGTCTGAACTAGGTGGAACTAAGCAATATAGTGCGCCTGAACCATCTGCTATGGGAATTGCAGTAGATGCGTGACAGCGTTTTGTCTTTTAGAACACACATGCTTCTGTTAATTTTTAATTATCCGATGTTACAGCGACGTACTAATTGGCAGAACTGCACACACACACAAACAAATGCGTCCACACACACACACACACACACACACACACACATATATATAAGCTTTTATAATTTTAAACATTATTTTGTGTTAGTGGTTACCCATTTTTGCATAGACGACCCGTTCATTTTTAAACAGTGTTTTATTTTCAGCTACCGACTTGATTATTTTTTATTGATAAATAAAAATCCTTTAATTCTTTAGAAATATACGTTTGTGTGTGTTTGTGTGTGTGTTTATCTGCATGGGTGTATGTGTGTGCAGCTTTATGCGTGTATGTTTGTGCTTATGCATTTATGCATATGTTAGATTAAGCTTGGAACGTTGTATCTTAGAAATGATTAAAGACATGTTATTTATAAGACTACTGGATTCTACTTTGAGCAATAAGAATACATAAATACTTTCCAATATGAACACAAGAAATGTGATGAAATCGATCATAAATGAAAATGACATGTTTATCATTAATTAATCATAGGCAAGGAGTTCATGGCGTATCAAAATGAGTCAAGGATGATTTTAATTTTAATTTTAACTGAATGTATGGATGTCTTATGCATGTATCTCGAGTTATAGGAATGTTTTATTTTACAAACACGTTTAGTTCATACAAGTTCCAAATAATTTAAGTTC